CATGACCTCCCTGCCTACGCTGCTCTGTTGGGTACCTTGATCTCGCTTTGCTGTTGCCTTTGTTTTTGAACGTCTGGCTGTCTGCCCATCTGCCGCCTCTTTGCCCTGTTTGCTCCGTTACTCCCATGCCCTGGTGCGTAGGGCCTGGTGCTGGCACGTTACCCTTTGATTTTTTCTTTGGGCGGATGTGGAAAGCGTCCTCCTTTTTTTTTGTTTTTGTTTTATTTTGATCGGTTTCCGAGGGCTCTTTTCTCGAACGGTCGGTGCGATACCTGTTCTTTTCTTTTTATCATTTTGTTTTCTTTTTCCGAGTGGTTTGTACCCTATTTTTGTTTTGTTTCCCCGCGGCGTCGTATGTGCCGGGTTTTGAGACCACGGGCTCCCCATTTTTTGTGGACTATAGTGCTAATGTGAGAAACAACAACAAACAACACATGGTGCGGGACGGACAAGCGGCGAAACAAGATGCCTACCCGACTGCTGACACAACAGACACACACCCCTAACCGACTGCTACAATAAGACACACACACTTGGAAGCGTTGTTCTGTTTTTAACCGCATTGAGACTGACGTCTTTTCATTCGTCAGCCGGGTACCGCGGTCGACGCTAACAGATACAGACAGACACGCGCACTCACCGCCTGCTGCTCGATGATCTTGTTCTTGAGGGTCCTCTGCTTAAGCCTTAGCTCCCTGCGCTCTTCGTTGGTCTGGCCGGATTCGTCCATCACCTTCACCTTCTCCAGTAACACAAGGCAGCAAAAACAAGCAAAAAAAGACATTAGAAAGAAGGTCCACAAGGATTGGAATGGGGTAGGTTGCACTATAAGGAAGGACACCAAAAATGGACAGAACTCTAACCCCCATGGTCATGGTTTACGCGCTCAACAGGCCTTGTACGTGCAGGGGGTTGGTTGCCTGGGACCAAAGCCACCGCACATGATGCTGGTCATAAGCACACTACGACGCTGCCGTCTATTCTTGTTGTCCCGCTTTCGGCGGGGCTCGTCAAGTGCTTATTTCAAACGACAAATAGAAACAAACAAATCAAGGGAATAATTGCCGACAACTCCATCACCAATCATTGTGGTACTGTAGGAGATATGATTTCCTCCTCCTGAATGAATTCGTTAACAATTTTTTATCTTTCGTGTAAAGACTGAAAGCCCTCCACGTGCCCGAATGGCACAAATACTTGGGAAGTGTAGAGCAACAACACGATAGGAGGAGCAGTACTTCGATGCTTGCCGCCTGCTTCGCCGCCGCCAGTGCATCGTACACAAATAGACAAGCTTCTTCACCTTGGAACATAAGCAGGCATTCGCCGATCCCCTGCAAGATGAATCCCTAGGAGAACGAAGCGCTCCGTTCTTTGTCCCCAAGCGAGAATCACAAGCTCTACATAGACACAACCTCGAACGCATGCACGTAGAGCAAGACACGCAAACGCCAGGAGCAAAAATGGGGAGGCATAGTGCTGCACGCAGCCTGCCGAAGCTTCGAAGCTCCCTTCGTTGTCTCCACGAGAGTACCGGGCCAAAGCTTTAGAAACAACCTCCTGTGAGCGTGTTTTCGCAGAGAAAGGGACACAAAAACACTTCGGAGCAAACGTGGATAGGATACTATTGATAAAAACACATAAAATCAACTCGAAACTTCACCGTTCGAGAGAACACCTCAGCCGGGACAGCCAGGACACCATACTCTGTACGTAACGTGCCGAAAACGGCGTTGCCTACCTCAGGCCTCTTGGGCTTCTTGGGGCGGCCGCTGCCGCCGCCCTCGCCGCCCTCCCGCCTCCGACTTCTCTTCTCAGACATGGTTGATATGATATGATGTGGTCAGCGCTGACCGCGGAAAGTGTCTTCTCGACTCGTGCCCTTCGGCGCACTCCTCCTGTACCCGTCTGCTGCTGTGGGTACACAAACAAGGAGGTTCGTCAGCGATCGATCGATCGATCGTGCGAAACGACTACGAGCACAACACGGCAACAGCAGTACCGCCGTAGGGGACGTAAGATATCGCACCCCCCGCACCGATTTTCCAAGTTCGATTTCCACACGACTAAATAATAAGGGGTTGCCAGTCAGAAGGTGCAGGTTCGGAAAGCTCTCGACAAGGCCGTTCCAATGCCGCCATTTACCACTCTGATCTGCTACACTGCTGTGGAACACTCGAGCTTTGAAAAAATCGATCGAGGGGGGTGTGGTATTTTACGTCATGTCACTCACCGCGGTGGTGGGTCGCGCGCGAACGAGTCAAATGGCGAAGTGCGAAAATCTACGGAGAAGCCCGATTGCGGCACAACTCTCCGTTTGAGCCGCCAGAAAACGGGTAACTCGGTGGTCTTGGCCAATCAGGGTGGGGGCCTCCGGGGAAAACCGGATTCATGTTGAGTCAAGTCCTGGTGCCTGGTGCACCGAACGTGTGTCACACGAACATCCATCGGTGTCTTCTTTTTTGTTGCTTGTCCTTAGACTATGCATTTTTCTCCATATAAGAATCTGACTGTTCTCTTGACCACTCTAGCACACCACAGGCGAGAGACCCCATTTCGAAATATGCAACCAGTTCGTGCGCTCCGCTGTGTGTTCCTCTTCACGTTTGTTTGAGCTGTGGGTCGAAGGAGTGCCTCACTTGCAGCAGATTTGCTAGTAGAGGCGGACATGATTTGCATCAAATGGGGGAGCATGACGCCTCCGATGCGTCGCACACCTTCAGGCGCCGGAAATAGGTACAGCATATAAGACGTGCTTGGTGCTTATGTAGTAGCAGCTGCTGCTTGGGGTACGAAGGTGTGAAGGCCAGGTCCACCGCAGTCGTAAGAAGAGGAGAGCGACAGAGGGCAACGGCTTTCTCTGGTGCAATCTACGCGCGAATGCAACCCAACGGGGCATGATTGGTCCTTACACCCGTATTTCCGACAGCATCGCAACCCGCATGGGAGAAAATTTAAGAAGCCTTCGCCGCTGTTGCTGCCGTCTTGTCGTGGGCAACAGCACAGCCGAAGCCCGGAAGGCCGCAATCATGAGCCAGCCGGATTGTCAAAATTTCAAAAAATTGGTCAACCTCCCTCCGGATATTTTTGAAAATAAAAGAGGAAACAGGCGGCCGATTACTACCGATCACCGCGAAAGCAGGGATTCGCACCTGCGGTGTAGCCGTGAAGCCCTCTATCCTCCTCTCTCTGTGCGTGTCTCTCTCAGGCACTCTGTGTGTGGACCGGTCAGCTACCTGCCTTAGTGTGATGTGTGTTGTCTCTATCTCCATACGGCAATTTCGACATCACGGACTCCCTGCGCATACGGTACACGAAACAAAACTAGGTACAAGTACCAATTTCGACCCCCCATGGCTGGCGAGCTGGCACACTGTACTGACTTGAAGCGTTTAACTTGCACCACACTCTGATGGGCTATATGCGACAAGCGTGTGACAAACGTGTGGAGGGGCTCGTTACAGGGTGGTCAGGATCACGTGATTCCACGCAGTTTTACCCCAAAACACAAGTAATACAACCTTGTTCGTTTGCTGTGCGGCACCATTACGACGCCATGGTAAAATGGATCGGGTACATGTAGTGGCCGCACAGCACATCAGTGTTTCCAGATGGATACATGGGGGGGAGCAGCAGCAGCGACTCGAACACTTAGACCATTCACGAAAACAGCGGTAGCGACAATCTTCGCCACTAAACCAATGCTAGGTACAGCTAGTCGTGGTCCCGTTTTAGCGGTCCATAGTGTCACAAAATGTTATAACCGCTATTTAAGGCATCGCCGCTAAACCGGATTGGCAGTTATATTGCAGTTCGACTATTGTACCGAGGTGCAGACGTGCCACGAGATTTTGGGACCGCTATTCAGGGCATCCCACTAAACAGAGAACCGCTAAACCGGGACCACGACTCCAGCGTACTGTTGTCGCAAAACCTCAGTCCTCTTAACCAACGACGAGCCAAGCGCACGACAACCACGCGTGAAGACGACGGATTTGTGTGACAATTCGTTTCTATTGCCCTATTCTAGAAGGAAGGACGCGTGTTGTAGCATCGCACTCGCAATAGTTAAGGGAAGATAACGAGTAATGAAGGCCCTGCGAATACACCATCAAACGGCGGTCGAGGCCTCCCCTCTCCGTTGTCATGCGCGGTGGTCTGAGCCGTAGGAAATAATTGTCGTGCGGAGAACTCAAGAAGGAGCCAGCCAGTGGCAAAGTGTTGAACTCGTTCTGCGACGTACGCAACTTACTTTTTCCAACTCCCAACGCCGCAGCCAACAAGTGCTGTGCACAGAAACCGCCCCAGCTCATGCACCTCTCCGCTGACAATCGATCAGGCGCAAGGACTGCAGTCTTAACTTCTCGTGATTCTTCTTCTGACGCCTGCTGTTACGTGCGACAAGCGCGTATGAGCATCTCCATCATCCGCACTCAAAGCAGACACCCTCTGGCACGGCTGTTGAACATTCCGCAATCCCTTTCTAAAGAAGCAAAGGTGACAACTGGCTCGGACATCCTTGGAAGGATCCACCCCCAAAACCTTGCCCTATTCTAGATCGTCTGTACGCCGACCACACACCTCCCTTTCGCACCGGCAAGCGACTCGTAAAACAGACTTCACCAAACGGATGTACAAGGCCTCTCTTTGTTTGAGGTCATACTTTCCTACAGCCACTCACGAGCGGAATTCTCGCCCAACTCCTTAGACAACCTCTGCCGCAAAAAATAAGGCAATGCAACTATTGGGGCAGCCAGACCGGCCACCCACATCCTTCTCCCCCCAAGTATTGTTTCGATCATCCGAGATCTACATTTTGTGATTATCTACGGTAGAGACGGGTCGTCCTCCTTCGCGTGCTTGCACCACCTCTGTGAAGGGATGTGGAACGCCGGAGCAATCGGCCGGCGCTGCAACACACAAAAACAAAGGTCGGCGTGGGGGGTGGTGAACTCATCAATTTCACGTGTTGTGGGGAGGGGGGGGGGGGGCTTGCGAATGTCGGGGGTAAGGTGAGCGAGGATTCAGGTTGGGTGGTGGGCAACGAGCGACAATCAAGTGGGTAACAATTTCGTGGAGAACGGAGCAGCCGTTTTCGCCAATGGAGGACAAACGACTTCGTAGACACCCAAGACAGGCAGGTAACCGAACGTCCCGAACTTACCTGAAAGAGAGCCCCAACTCTTTGTCGGTCAGGCAATATCCGAGACATGGAGGATCGTGCAACGCCATGAGCGGATACCGACGCTACATATGCCACAGACTGTTGCAACAGTAGTCCCGTAGCTGAGAGGGCGCCCGCACGCAAGAACTTAATGCTCAAGATGATATCACACAGAAGAGCCTGAGAACCATTTGCGAGCTCACTTCCACTAAAACGTAAATACGCGCAAATTTGCAGCCCGCAAGGGGGAAGTAATATCCCTGTTCTCGGCGTAAACTAGAGGTTCTTCGGTGTGCGGTTGCTATCTGCATATTATTTGTCAATTGCTGGACAAGAGAAGAAGACCACCATGGATGAGGAGGGGATGGGGGCATGTTCATCAGTCTGCGCACACACTGAACTCAGCCACAAAAGGTCAGCTGTTTCAACATGGCGAGGCCAGGAGATGGACACGCAGCACGCGACACGGCGTTGCAAAAAAAGCAGCAACATATGAATATCCGTCCCACAAGAGAGGCAACACTTTCCTTCTAGGCATGACATACTGTATCACATCGTTCCCACCTCTCGGTCTGAGGAAATCCTGGCGATCGCGATGAAGGCCAAGCCGATGCCGATGAACGCGAAGCCCGTGTTGCGCTTCCAGTGCGGCGGGTTGACCCACCAACCCCCGGCGGGCGACCACACGTGCTTGGGGAAGTGGAAGTGTCGCCCCCCCCCCATGGCTGCTGCTGCTGCTGCTGCTGTTGCTGCTGCTGCCGCTGTCGCGGATGCCTGGTCTGACTATTGAGCGAAGATCGGCTGCTTTGTCGTGGGGATGGCAAGGAGATAGGTATAGTGGAGCGTAGGGGTGAACCAAACAGGTAATGGGAAATGGTGGATGACATGGAAGTTGTCCGTTTGTCGCTTGTCGCCACCCTAACCCAGCCCACTTGCTGTCAGCTGTTAGGGTATTCACGTATTTACTAACCTAACCCACTACACAAATAGTAGAAAAGTCTGAGGTTCACCACTATCTGTTTTCGGCCGAAACGGCTCGCGCACATGAGGATGGGGGTGGGGGTGGACGGAACGAATGCTGGTGGAACGTATTCGTAACGCCCCCCCCCCAATCGATTCAGGACGCCATGTAAAAGTTGTTCGTTTCAACCAACTGCTATCGATCGCAGCTACTCCTATTGAAACTCTCAGAATTGGTAGTGTTGGGGGAGGGGGAGAGACCTTGGGGATAGCCCATCTTGTAAAATGTGCTGTCGCCCCCCTGTGTGTTCTGCGGTGCCCATTTGGCCTCTTCCACGCGTAAGCGGCAAGACGCGAAAGGGGCGAGGGGGTGACGAAGAACACGACGTATTGTATGCATACTGCCGTGTATGTTGCATGCATGCCAAAGTGAGGCTTTGGCCTTCGAGCAACGTGGTACGACTGGACCGAGGGAGTGTTCTCAAGTGCTGTAGTGTTGGTAATTAACTCGTCGGGGGTAGTCTGCCACTACAGGCAGATGGGCAGCGCACACGACAATCACAACTTAGACTACAGCGAGCGAGACAAAAGCTTGAGGTAGTGGTAGTATGGGTAGACGAACGAGACTCAGTTTCCCTGGTCTGTTGAAACTTTTCGCAGTGCACTCACACACAAGAGGACGACGGCAATATTAGTGTGCATGGCACCAGTCTGGCACTCAGAGCATGCATCATGTGGTATCAGGGCGGAGAGAAGCTGCGAGACAGGTGAACCAATATCTGTGATAGTGTACACTATTAAGAGCAGCCAAGAACTGCTGTTGATCAACTTCGAGCTGGCACACCCTGCACCTGTTAGTGACTCTGTTCATAGCTCGTATACGTGCAGTCGTGGCACATGCACAATTCTATGTCTTGAACAGACAGAGCCGCTGCTTCTTGTATCATCGTCGGCATGCGAGTACCGACCGTGGCAGCAACGCCATCAACTCTGGCAAGCACACAGCAGAGCATATTTTTGCGAACTCTTATGTGTAGTCTCTAGGTGGTATCGTTGCGATTCTTTGAATGCAACAGCGGAATGATGCAACAGATGTCACGCTTCCACAGCTCTCTCAATCCCAACCCCTTCCTAGCTTTTCCCTCGTCATCCCATGCTGTGTCACACACCAGCACCTCGAGCCCTCCGAGTAGGCCTCGGGTCTGAGGCGTGATGAGGCCCCTGCTGTTACACCTACAAAGAACCTTCGGATAACAAGTGTGACAAGTTGATGAGCCACCTCTTGTGGAAATCTTCAGACCCCGGGGGGTCAAACGCACCTGCCTCCAAGCTCTTCCTTTTTCTGCCGCTGTGTCCGGTCGTCAGCAGTGCTCAACACAGGCAACGACGCACGACAAAGCAAGGCAGGGGGAGACGTACAAGCATTTTTCTAGAAACAGGGGTAAAAGATCCGAGCCGTCGGCCCCCCCGGAAAAGACGCGTGTTTCGCTGCGCACTGCCTCGCCTTGCTAGCGCTCTACAAGACTATGGCGAGCGGCTTCGGGAAAAACAAGGTCGGGAGGTGCTACTCGATATTCTCTGTTTTCGAAACATGCATGGTGAGTGCCTTCTGTGAGCTGAATGTCGACCGAAACTCAGAGCGTGTTTTGCTTGGTTTTTGCCCGTCACTGCAGCGGGCGTGCTGTATGTTTCCAACGATGGGATGAGCTGTAGCAGCATTGCACCGTTGCATCTGACACTTGACGTGATGGCTGTCGTAGCGAGGACGTCTGGCCAGCGCGAAAAGTACGAACGGCAGATCCATTGCTCTGATAGCCCCCGACTCTCTATGAGCGGGCCTTTTGCCGACCCTCCTGTGACATGCTTCCAGAGCTGCCCAGCCGCTGTCGAGGGTTAATGCGACAAGCAAACGAGTCAAGCAGGGGTCTAGTGATGAAGTGAGGTTGCACGGACACAAAATGGGGCCGCCACAAAGAGTACTGGCTGTGGTGGCTTATTCTCTGATGCTTTTTGCAGTAACGATCGCGAGTTGACTTTGGGGCATTGGGAGCACAAGAGACATGCCGCTGGTGTGCTCGATCATGTGTGCACTTGGGCGAGCAGTCTTGTTTAGCCGTATGCTACGCATTCATATACTCGTATTCATGTCCTTGGGAATGCATCCCGGCTTATTGGGGGCAAATTGTGCACTCACGAGGTCTTCGTAGGCCACGCGATCGGTGTCAATGAATCTCCTTGCAGAAACTCTGCTCTGGTTGCTTCGGAAGCGTTTGGTCGTTTGCTCGTGTGTTCGTTTACAGTCGTGGCTCCAATACAGAAGGGTGGTGTGACAAAGGCCCTCGACGCTCTTACATCGGAGCCCGCTCTGGTACCGGATCAATAGGTACCACTCAACTACCAAGCAGTAGAGGGTAACTAACCGATCTTTCCCCTCTTAAGTTGGAGCCCCCTTTTGTGAGGAACCCTCTTTACATCGTGGCCATGACTGTACTCCGGTAGAAGAGCTCTCCTTCGGTGGTCACCACCTCCGACTGCTGCGCAGCCACAAGCAGCCAGAAGCAGCACAGCAGTGCCGTGAAATCTTGTACTGCTTTAACGGCTAAATGTAAGCCAGGTGTTCCTTGAGGCTGGACAAACCGAAACACGCGGAACAATTTGTCTCTCGTTGGAAACGTATTGTCAACTGTGAGCCTGCCGGAAAAGTATTCCGGACAAACATCTTCCCCCGCGCTGTCATGCCGGCCAATTGCCATCTTGCTGATGATGTATTCCCCGTCCGGCCTAACCTCGCTTTTGTGTCCGCAGAACACGGAGCCCGACTCCTCGGTATGCTACGACTTCCGCAAGCAGTACTTCAACTGCTTACACTTGCCAACCGTTAACACGGTAAGAGGCGTGTATGAACCGTGGTGTTGAGGACGTTGTAGATTATAGTGGTTTGTGTTGTAAATAGATGCTTTTGGTTGTTGGCCGTGCTTCGTTCTTCCTTCATTCTTCAACTATAGAACACGCCGTCCAACGTGTCCTTGTTTCTTGTTCATGAAAAACTGCGCGTGACCAAGGCTGTATCGTCACATGTTGGCGTTGTTCGCTCTCGGTTTTTTCGTACAGCATCTTGAGCGGGTGCTGAGAAACACTTACATCCTCTCTATTTGTTGGTTGCGCTCCCTCTGTGCGTTTTCATTAGATGTCCGAAAAGCAGATGGATTTCATGGAGGAGCGCAAAGACACCCTCGTCCTGGCGTCGAAGGCTCTCCAATCCGGGGCAAGCGGTAGTGCGCCAGCTAAACCACCGGGAGAAGAATCAACATAGCGCCGCCTTACGTCCGACAATAGTTATTCGTAGAGTACCTTAAGAGGCGCAGACATGGCATCGAGTTTTCAAAGCTCGATTTTTCTCCGCAAGCAACGGGGGTGCGAAAGAGCCCGATCGAAGCCCCCTCGACGAGATGTTCCTACAACCACAATTTTCGGTGTTGGCAAAATCTTCAGTGGTCGAGCAATCGAGCTCTTTGAAAACCGGTCTAGGGGAGGGTGCCATATCTCCGCCTCTTCACGGTACTACTGACCAGGAAAGGGGGGGCAGCGGCAGAGGAGGGGGTTGGTGCTTCTTGTCAGGGTTTTTTTATGGTCCCCTCAGTGGCTCGCCGGAGTGCCAATGGGGTGCATGGATCGAGCGGGATTTTCGTTCAATGCGGTGTGTTGATTCTTCCCACGGCTTTGGGATGGTCGGCTTACACAGATCGCATTGGTTTACGTGATGAGTGAGCTTTCGTTCAAAGGATGGAGGCGTGTCTGGCGCTCCGTTTGGGCCTGCGGAGCGCAACTCATACGGCCAAGAGATGACCTGCTTTCAGGTAGTTTGAGCACGTCGCAAGCTGGCAAACGTGTTACTTCTACAAATAGTGGTTGTTTTTTTCCCTTCCGATGGACGCTTTGAAGACTGTCGTACTGCCGTGTCGAATGGCTTTCACGTCGCTACTTGTTTAGCTTCTTGCTGAACAACATCATCGATGACGGGATGATGCGGACGTTAAAACATTTCTGTGGAGGTATGGAGTTCCGGGCTCGTAGGTGTGCTGTTCGATCGACCGCGTCGCACGTACCGAGCACGGGATCCAAATCGCTGTCGGCATGACGCAGTCGCTCCTAGTCACTCTTGACCAAGCGGTGGTGTGTTGCGAGCTCAGGTGCTGGATGGCATATATATGCACACCCAGATACCGCGCCCCACCGGGTCGAGCCGCGGTTTCGAGGGCACCAATGAGCCGTCTCACGCCCAGCACGTTGTACCAGCCATACCCCAAAGGGTGCCACCTCTTGTGCACCCTTGCGTGTTGCTTGCTTCGGTATACCACCTTGAGCCGCTTTCGTTTCGCCCACGGCCACGTGTTGAAACGATGTCCGCCTCAAGAGATAAAATTGCCGGGTGCCTCTGTGGGAGGTGGGAGCATTGTCGTGGAAGCGTTGGATCCTTGCGGATACATGCATCAACGTGTAGAAAAAAACGGTTGCTGGAAATATACCGAGAACCACGTGGAACCTAGGGGAACCACAGGCGGATACTTTTACACGTATGTTCCACATACCACTGCTGACATGAACGGGCGGACCACTCGTCTCACCGTCCTGCTCACTAGTCTATTTCTGGTCCCCGTCTCACCTCTCTCAAACATGAACGCAGACGACCTGCCTACGCTCGTAGTAGCGGGCTACAGCTACCTCGACCCGCATACCGAAGGAGTTTGAAGTCGCCATTGAAGCGTCGAATAGGTTTCAAACTCTAAGACAGGTGCAAGCGCGAGACAAAGGCCACGACGACGAGCAGGCACAAAGAACGGGGTGTGTGGGGGGTAATGTGGAGGTAACCTGGTCACATCTCCTCAACGTCTGTCGAGGACGATCCCCTCTTTTCACGTTGGCATCTCAACGAAGAGATGTCTGATTTGGCGGAGGAAAGACCCTGGTTCGATTCCCCACGCCCTCTTCTATCTCCGTATGTTTCGCAAGGAGGGGGGGTTGGAAATCGTCGACTACAAGCATGGAGTGTTATGTCACGTCGTTCGCGACTTGACGATCAACGTGAAGTGGCTTGTGGTATGGGATAAACGACTCTCTCTCTCTCGTGTGTCCTATTCGTTGGAAAGTGCACTATTTTCGCGCACTCCGGACGCGACTCTCCCCGTCAGTAAGATCACCCCCCGCAGCACCAAAACCGTCTCCGCCGCCACAATCACCCCTGCCCCGATCGCTGCTGTTGCTGCTACGATCGCTCCCAGTACTACTGTCAGAGCCTTTCCTCCCTTTTCGGGCGGTCGTCGCCTCTGCTGCCGCTGCGAGCATAAGCCGGTAGAACGACTGGTACTCTATCGCCGCAAGCACGCTCTGCACGAAGCCATGGTATTCGTGCTCCTCGAACAGGGCCGTGTAGTTGTTTTCCTTCGCGTCCTGTTTGAACGGTCGTCGTCAGTGGATAGAGCAGAAGCAGTGTGATTTGTGGTAATGTTCTTAGGGTCTACACGCAGGATCTAGTCGTAAGAGTTGGCGGTGAAGGGGACGGACGGTAGAGGGCCGCCCACTTGAATACCGTTGCCGAGTCTTCCAACTTTCTTCGTGTAGCTGAACCAATACCCCCACAACTAACCAACATGAAATTCTCATCTACAAACGAAAAACACGTAAAACTCATCAGGAGCACGAAACAGCGAGGCCCGGTCCCTGGGTAAGTTCCAAAGCTACCCTTTCTGCTTGATGGACGGGTACACCGTTTCGGTGTCATTCCATCCTATCGGTCAACCACATTTGGATGCCGGGTACATGCTGAGGATAGGGATGGGCCCACGCGGGAACATTGGAGGTTCTGGGGGACAGGAGCAAGAGGATGTAAGGCTCAATAGATTGGGTGCAGTGTAGCTCTTATTGTCCCTGTTAGCCGGATAGTCACGCATCGTCAACATGGTGAGGATTAAGAACCGCTGTAGAGCACCTACTTCGTAGAAAACCCCGCAGCGTAACTTGCGCGAGGCGCATTGCCGAGCTATGTAGCAAATCACGCATCAATGCTCTCTGGCGTAGTCCTGACGCACGGGCGATATCCATTCATTTTTTTCTCGTCACGACCATGACCCTCAGAGCTAGAAAAAATAGCGAATTGAAACAGAAAGAAAAATGACGGGAACTGTTACCTTCATGTCGGAAAACAAATCTTCAGCTGGGCGCCCCTCCTCTTCTAAAAACCCTGTGTGGTCGTCGTTGTTTCGCCCATGGTGCAACGTTTTAGATAATTAGTAGATGCCAGAGGATTGAGGTTGCGAGCGACGGAGCGACGGGAAGTTATGAGAGGAGGGGCATCAGGATGGAACTTTCCCATTGGATCACGAAACACCAACGGAGGAACATACACTCACAACGGAGTGTTAGAAGGGAACAAACCTTAAAGGTTGCTGGATCAAGCACGTGGGTGTGTACTTGAGTTGACCCAAAAGCAAGAGGGGATGCGGTGCTCAGCTTCACTTTCATCACACAATGGACTACTAATTTGCGAAGATTGCGAAAACAAAAGGTTCGTGCAGGCACCGTATTCGCGCAAAACTCACCGCTTAACAAGTTCTCCACAAGCTGCAGGTATTGCCCGTGGAGCTCAGAGTATCTGCGCGTCGAAATCACAAGTTTTATGGAGTAAATAAAAACATGAATACGGGAAAAGTCAGTCGGTGCCATAGCTGTTTGACACGTTTATTGCGTGGGTACACGCGTTCACCTTTTCTACTTTTACGTTTTTGTGTCCTACATACGTACGCGAACCTTATATTATGTGTATGGTCCCCGGTCTTCTCTTCTTCTTGGACCGCATCCCCGAACTCCCTCGCGTGTTCCCTGCGTAACGGCCAGCTAAGTACGGTAAGTACTGTACAGACGACAGTCGACTCACAGCAGCAGCAGTGCTAATACATGGCGATAAGTGTCTCGATGGCACGCTTTCGAGGCAGACGACAAAAGGTTCTCCAACCGGCCTTCAAGTCAACGCCGTGTTCAACCCCACTAGAGAAATTACCGTCCAAGTTCTCCCGGCAGCCTGGTCCAGGGCTTCCGTTGAAGGTTTTTCTTTGCTCGTCGAACAGGTGGGGTCGGAGAAAAGGGCGCAAAACGTACTGCTCTATTGGACGGTCGGTCGCAACGTAATGTGAACAACTGGAACTCTTTCGTCATCGCATACCTTGCGAAATTGTCGAGTTCCCCCTGAAATGGCCGCGACTCGAAGAAGTGACATGCTCGCTCGAGGAGGCCCCATCCATCGTTGCCGCCAGTGCTCTTCGTCTCGCTATCTTCGTCGTCCTGCTTCAGTAACATGTTGGACGAAGATAGGTTGTACAATCACCAAAGTATGTAGGGCGTGGGAATACCAATGTACTGCCGATGTTATGCCCCGGCTGTGCAGGTGAAGTGGTATTGTAAGGCATCACTGGATCTAATGTACAATGGTAATCGTGCAGGTGCAGCGTACATTGTTGCACTCCGGGGAAATACTTTGGTTGCGCTCTGTGTTGAGATCTACCAAATCACGCACATGTACGTAACCCGTGCCTTTCGCACCTGATGGGCTGTTACAACAGTTGTTGCTCAACTGAAAAGCTTCAGTGTCAGTGATAGCCACATTATTACGGTATGGAACACCACGCTACGCTATACCACAGTCCCCACACTGCCACTCTGTGTTGACGGGCTCATGACAATAGAGTAACCGAAGTATTGAGTATTGACGAGCAGATACAATCTCTTCACCTGTGCTCCCACAGTTGTTCTCGGTGTTCGGAAGCTCATGTTTCAATCTGTTTGGACAGATAAGAAAACCGTGAAGGGATTTTGGCGTGAGAGGTTGAAGGGAGATGAGCGAGGAGCGAGGAGGGAGTCAATGGTAGATAAAAATGCGGCGCAATGAGTGCCGTTTCGACCTCTGACTGTCCCCTCAAAACCCTCAACCCCACAACCCCTGTTAGATATACTCGTAGCATAGTAATGTGGTTTAGTATGGGACATGGATCTACGGAGATTGCAGTTGGTAGATCGCGGAGGAACAGGGAGTTTCTGCTTGGTTTCTTCGGAGATTCGATGAGTGATCTGAATTGCGTGACGGATAGGTGTGGTGACGCACTCTTCGGCTGCTCGGCCTCGAGTGGTCTCTGCCCTTCCCTCTTCCCTCTAATACAAGACTTTCCCATCTCGGCCCTCACTGGCCGAGCTGCCTTTCTCCACAAACCTACAAGCTTCGGCCTACCCGGTTTATCCAACACGCTAGGGTCAACGACTTTGTCGAGGGTGATTGGGTAGCGCCGATGGGCAGCCGCATGCGCGGCTGACGACACCCAACCAGACGAAGAGGCCACCAACGGCGAGGGCCTGCACAGCAGCAGCAACCCCAAGACCTACAGCAGCGCCATCGTCAGCTGCAGCCCGCCGTCTACTTGGGTAGTAGGCCCGCTCAGGCACGTGATGACTTTACAGTTTCCTACTGGACTGTTGTTGGTATCAACACACCCATTGCGGTGATGCGGTATAATACTCATAGTGCCGCCGATTCTAAACGCGGCAATACGCCGTGCGGTACTGCCGTCAAACGCCAACGCTAACGCAACCTCCAACTCCACCTCATTCTCCACCGCCACCTCTCGGCCAAGAAGGTCGACTACCTATTACCGGTAGACTCAATCAAAATCGCGACATCGTCGCGCGGTACCGCCGTCAAACGCTCGGCCAAAGAAGGCCGACTACCTGTAGCATAACGGGTAGACACAATTAATGCAGGTTACCAGTAATCCTCAAAAACTGATGCCAGTTTCTAAACTGATGATATGATGTGTGCGTGTAGCATGGAATTAGAAATAGTATTGTGCGTAATGAAATGCAGTGATCGGCGAGGTTTTTGCTTTGTCATCCTGACAGCCGTGCTGAGACCAACTTTCTCTCCCCGGCAATAGCGTGATCAACGTTTTATCTGGGCTCTTTTTGGTAGCTACTTATTGAGCAGCAGGTTTAGCCTGATCAAAAATGCGTGATCAACGTTTTATCTGGACTCTTTTTGGGTAGCAGGTTTAACCTGATCAAAAACTTTTCATGTCTTGGTTGTGTCAGCGAGTGCCGGAGACGTGTCAAGTCTCAACGAAGTGCAACATTGGTACCTCCACCTTGTTGCAGATTAAAAATTCACAATATTGACGAAATAAATGCTGATTTCCTAATATTGTTGTACGTTGTCTTGAGATTGCTATTTGTTGTGAGATTGCGGTTCCAAAAGTTGTTAAGGTTT